CTCCGCAACTCGCGAAGTACGCCACTGTCAAGGGAAAAAATGGCACCATATCCAAGGCGTGAATGATGGATAGTGGGGCGAAGCATCCGTCCGTCCATTCGTTTTTGCTTTCGTCCATCGATGCGTGCGTCTGTGTGGCTGCCCGTCGTCCGTCCGCCCATCCGCGGCGCGTGCGTCTGTTCGTGCGTCCGCACGTTCATCTGTGCGTCCGTCCCTGCTTTCGTCCATGCATACGCTCCTGCGTCTGTTCATCCGTTCATCCGTCCGTGCAGCCATCCGTGCGTCTGTCCATGCATCTGTCTGTGTGTCCATTCGTACACTTATTCAACACTCCAAGAACCCCATCTCGCATCTTTTCATCATATATTCCTCATATAGAAGCACCGCCATCCAGCGGACATTCCAAGGTCTGAACGAGAGGAGGCACACGCACACTTTCTTACGGCTTGCGCTTCGAGTCTACTTCCCACCTTTAACCATCTCGAGTTCATGGTATATAGTAGTTCACTGTATTCATGGGACTGCGGCCCAACGCTCGCTAAACCTTTCTAAAACTTAGGAGGTTACGCCCAGCTAGTATAACGTAGCAACCTTTTGTTGTTGATTGATTGATTTGTGGGGTTTAACGTCCCAAAACCACCATTTGATTACGAGAGACGCCGTAGTGGAGGGCTCCGGAAATTTCGACCACCTGGGGTTCTTTAACGTGCACCCAAATCTGAGTACACGGGCCTACAACATTTCCGCCTCCATCGGAAATGCAGCCGCCGCAGCCGGGAATCGAACTCGTGACCTGCGGGTCAGCAGCCGAGTACCTTAGCCACTAGACCACCGCGGCGGGGCAACCTTTTGTTGTCCTCAATGCGTTGTGGAACAATGAAAAAATTCGCAGCGTGCGCGTTAACTAAAAGCCAAATTCTCATTTCTCTCATTCCCCATTAGCAGCCATTGGCATGTACATTGAGCACTATCTTTTATTGTTCAACAACGCACTGAAGAAACCTCTCACCGGCACCACCTTGGAGGTCAAAATGTTATACTTGTTACACCCTACTACAACAGCTACGAAGGACGAACGGGTGCCACTATAAGAAGTTTCGCCCTTAAAAGAATAACGTGTGGCATGTGTTCGCCGCGGCATTCGGTTAGGCATTAGGGGCTGCAGGCCTCGTGTGCTAGGCCAGTCGCGCTATGTGGGTGCCACCGGGCCCACAAGAATGATGCAACAATTGCACACTGCTGCGGCACCCTACGAAGAGTAGGTATCACAAGCATATGTAATGAGCCTTCTCGCAACATTGAGACAAACAAGTAATAATACTGCACGGTGCCTGTGTTTGCTTCAACAGCAAGATTGTAAATGTCCTCAGGTCGTGGCTGCTTGAATGTCCACCAAGAAAATTCGTCGTGCTGTCAGGCGCCTGTGTTCAGTGCAGCGACATGAATAAGTCGTTGACTACTTCGTAAGCATTAAATTTTAAGTGTTCTGTGTAGTGCATATACAATTCTTAGGAAGGACGTGCTTGTCTTTTCCCCCAAGGCAAAAAACAAAACAAAAACAATGGGGTTCATGAAGTTTTAGGTTTTTGTGTATTGCGACAGTTGCCGATGTTTAAAATGTATTGTGCTCTATCTAAAATTTTATTATATATAGTCTCTATTTAAAATTAAAACTTTTTCCTATTCCTACTGTCTTGGTTCTGCACGTCCTAGATCCTGGGTCCAAGAAACTTCGCAGCCATTAAAACTAGATGTTTGAATACACTGGCACAAAAAGATATACACTCCTGTTGGACGTGTGACTTCAAAGTGGCCAATAAAGACCTGGTGCAAAATATGCGACGTGATCCATTACCTAAACCACAAGAATTTGCTTTGCCATTCAAGCTGTATATAGATCTACCACAATACTTATTAGGAGCGATACTCTAACAGTGTGATGGAAGACTGACAAGCAGTTGCCAACTTCTTGTGGTTGGTTACCGCCACTACACGTTTAACAAATCGGAAGTGAATTGCTCGACAACAGAGAAATAAGGACTGGCATCCTGAAGGCACCCAGAAGCTTCAACGAAAAAAGGTGGCGCAGTATTTATATTGGGGATCCCACTTGCTGATGTGTAAAGCAATAAATGCTGTCAAGTTTTCAAAAAAAAAAGAACCGAAGCTCTACAACTGACACAAGAAAGATTGATCGCAGTGCCACTCACACTTATTCCAAAAATATTCAATCTTTATAACAGCTGTCATTAGGGTGGTCATAACGGCTGCCGGTGGACGTACATGAAGCTAACCGATCAATTTGCGGGGTCCGGCATGAAAGAAGACACAAAAAGATAAGTAGAATCTCATCACGAGTGCCGGAATAACAACTATTCGGCACCTAACTCGGCAAATGGTACAATGAAAAAACTTTACTGCACCGTTAGAGGCCGGTCACGTGGAATTCGAAGAACTTGGTTAAAAAAAACGCAAAGGTATGTAGCAGCAAAAGCAGAAAAGTGGATACCAACAGTCTGATCTCCTTTTAAACTTAAAGATGTTTGACAAAGAGTCAGTCAGTATTAGTGAGACAGTGAAACAGATTCACAGAGTCATCAACCCCATAAATGAACAAACCAACAGAGAATCGAACTAAAGTTTACTGCTCCATCTCATTCAGCAATTAAAGGGCTAGTGAAGCAGGCTAACAGAGACATAAATCAGTACTTAAGCATGTGTACAGACTTCCCAGAAAAATGGAGGAACTGCCTTTATATGACATAGCTCATCATGCACAGCACTAAAAAAACATTTGTAGGATGCACACCACTTATTTTTTTCTTTCTTTTTACATACTGCAGCTTCAGTAATGCTATCGCAGGAGAGAAAAAAAAACCCAAGACAACAAGAAGAAATCAACATTCATGAACAGACCCTTAACTGTTCCCGCACAGCAACATATTTGCCAGCCAACGTGACTGTCAGTCTAAGTGATGATTAGTCTGACAGAAAAGAGAACTAAGAAGGCTGAATCAATGTACAGAAAGAGAGCGAAAAGTAACTTCGACTAAAAAACAGAATACAGGTGCATGAAGAATTGAGCAAGGCTTCATGGTAGCGATGAAAGAATTGCGAAACTAAGAAACGAGTCACAGGGGGCCATTTTTTTTTGTCAAAATGGCAATGCCAGTCAAGACTACCCGGCACGTTGGCCTCAATGGCACCTTCGAATAGGCCTCCACAGCCAGCAATCTAAAAATGTATGACACCACTTTTCAAAGGCGAGTTTTCTCTACCAAACAAATTTCATGGATACAGAGATAATGAAATGACCACAGAGCGTCACAAAAATCATCAAAATGTCTGCATGTGGATCGGCAATGGAGCCACAGTGCAGAGCAGCCGAGAGTTTCTCGATTTCTCGCATAAGCACATTTTGTGGTACAATGTCAGGGCACTCTATAAATGCAAAGTAGCTTTTCCAGGCATTCTGTATTACTTTTTTGCAGAGTGTACTCGCACTTTACAGTACATATTCTAGATCTTTGAAGGCTGGGCTTTTCATTTGAAGCAAGAAAATAAAAAAATGCTGTCAGTACCGTTTTATCATTTCAGGAGGTTTGAAAACAAGTGCTGCGTTAGTAAAGCAAGTCTAAGCAGTGCTGAATGACAAATGATTTCTTGCATAGGAAACTGGGAGGATTGAGGTATTAAAACATAGAAGTTAAAAATTTTCACAAGAGTTCTGTGTCTCTATATTATTTTACATACCGCCTGTTAGCAAAGCACGATAGACTAATAATTGCATGCATAGAAAGAAAAAATATGAACTTTCCTAAGACCACAAAAATTTCACAGTGTTTTTAAACAATGCGTAACAAATATGTGTCAACACCATATCAATGTACGGATGTGTTAGGTACACTTTTGAGTACATGTATGGTAATAATGTTAGTATTATCCACATAAATCACGCATTACCTGTAACCTGATGCGCAATGATATTTTTTTGAATTATTTTGCATGGAGCCAGAACTATCAGTGTTGCAAAGGGCCCAGAGATTTTCTCAGTGGGTCGCTGCATACAGATTGATATAAACTGATTAGTCACAACTACAGCTAGTGTAGCATTCCTGTCACGTGCACTCGGCACACGGTCATAATTCATTCGCCTTGCGCGGACATGCATTATCTGTAAAAAAGGAATGCCCAGGAGGGTGCATTGATGAACACTACGCCCAACTTAGCTGCAGCTGGGTATTCTGTTTATTCACAGGACATTGGTTAATTAATCGACGCGTAATGAATGTAACCTCAAACCACTAACAACTCCGTATTGCAGTTTTTTTTGTACACACTGCGGCCTCTCCCGCACTAGCTGTAGAGATTTTCAATATGATGCTTACGCTGGGAACTTGATTGTAAACACGCACACATACCTTCACCAAAATACACAACAGTTTCGTCATGAAGCCTCAATAAACGCGTGCGTAATTTTTTATTATTTTATCGCTTTCGACAAACACCCGAAGTAGTGGGTTTCAGCTGAATTTTCTTCCTTTATTTTCTTACATCATTTCCATTAAAGTCTATGCGCTATAAAAGCACTGTGCAACAGCAGCAATTGTCGTCCTCTCACTTCGTAGCGTAAATACCAAAGCTGCGCCTGCCCGAGCATCGTTTGCGAACTTCGCTGCACCGATGGTCTCATGAACAAGCATTTTGTGGCTCTGTTCGGAACTGCAAACAACAACAACAAAAAAAAAAGAACTTAACGAGACCAGCATCTCGACGTCTCCTTAATCTTCACTGGATGCGACTGTTCGTTTCTGGGAATCTTCTTCAGTCGTTGAACACAGCCCAACCCTGCCAGTGGCAATGAAGTGCAGCGTCAATAGAGGCATGCCACAGCGTTTTTCAGCACACTCGAAGTTTCTTCACGTGCCTCCGAATGATCGGAAGGCGTTTTTCACAATCACTATCACCTCAGTGAACACAGCGCGCTTATATAGTCTTGCCTGGCAGCTCCCTGCAGCATCGTCGTGGGCACCGCCATGGTTTATCACGAAATCATGCACGAACCAATGAGTGCGCAGCATCCGAGAGCCTATTAAGAGCGCCTGGCGCCATGCATTGTGGAAGAGTCTATCCGCTCACCTTTGTAAACTCGCAGCCCGACCTCCCTTTCACGATAATTTGGATGGAGGCGTGCGTTTTGGTGAGGACACACTGAAAAAATTGCGTTCTTCAAGGCCATAAATTTGTTTCCTCCTCCTCTGGAAAAAACATTCCTGGCTATGGGCCTGAAGTAATGTACGTACGACATGGAATGATCTTGCGTGCACCCGAGCAGTACGTAGCACCGCGAGAATTATCTGAAAGGACATGCGTAGTTTGGGTAATCTGTTGCTTGAATAGATGAATGAAAGTCAATAGAAATATTGAAATATGCAAACGGAATCATTAATGTTTATATTTTTCAGTTCAAATTGGGCGAAACGTCGAGATATCACGCCAATATTCATTTAAGATGGTGTCGGTGCGCGACTAAGCGGCCTCCTTTTCGTTTGTGCTCGGGCCATGCAGGGGTGTCTGCGCAAGCAGGCATTTGGTGCGTATCGACACCACGACCAGAACTAACACGAAGGCCTTAATCCCCTCTCACGCCTCGCTTTCTGTGGCTGAGCCGCAGCCGTGGAAAAAGGGGATCAGAAGGAGGGGGTTCAGAAACGCCGGTTGATTAGACCGTTAAGTCCCCCCCCTCCCTCCCCGGTGAAATCAACACACCTTTTTGGCCCCGGCTTCACCTACATGGCACCCCTAGGCGGACCCACCCAGGGGGAACCGGTAGTCGCGCTTTCCTACCTCTAGCTCCCCTCATATTTTCGTCTTTAAATGTGAAGCATTTCTTAGCGAACTTCAGTGGTTTTGCGCGTATCTATCTATCTATCTATCTATCTATCTATCTATCTATCTATCTATCTATCTATCTATCTATCTATCTATCTATCTATCTATCTATCTATCTATCTATCTATCTATCTATCTAATCTATCTATCTATCTATCTATCTATCTATCTATCTATCTATCTATCTATCTATCTATCTATCTATCTATCTATCTATCTATCTATCTATCTATCTATCTATCTATCTATCTATCTATCTATCTATCTATCTATCTATCTATCTATCTATCTATCTATCTATCTATCTATCTATCTATCTATCTATCTATCTATCTATCTATCTATCTATCTGTCTATCTATCTATCTGTCTGTCTGTCTGTCTGTCTGTCTGTCTGTCTGTCTGTCTGTCTGTCTGTCTATCTATCTATCTATCTATCTATCTATCTATCTATCTATCTATCTATCTATCTATCTATCTATCTAGCCGCCTATGACTTTTAGCTCTCTTGGCCGTTTCGATAATGGTATCGATACCAAACACGGTATGGCATAACATGACTGTATGAAGAACATATTTGACTGGTTATAACATGAAAATCATGACATGGATGTCATGAATGTAGTGATTTACATTTCATGGTCTTGCAGCTCTTGCCGTGGTGTCGTTCAGATGACTGGTATGGTATGACATGATTGCATGTCGAACACAAGCGACGGACCCTAACATGAAAATCATGACATGCGTGTTATGTAATAACATGACTACATGCCAAGCTCATGATGCGCTCACGGGCCTTTCGCTAGCGTCAGATATACCAAATTTGGTATTACAGTATGAAACTGGTTCAAACATAGTAATCATGAGATGCGTGACATGTAACAGCATGGCTACACGCTACGCTCATGATGCGCTTGCGGCCGTTTCGATAGCTTCACATGTACCAAACTCGGTATTACCCGACGCGAACGGACAAAATAGGTTAATGCACATACGAACTTGATAATAACAACATGCGTGTCATGTAACATGATTACATACCACAACTACGATGCACTAGCGGCCGTTTCGCCAGCTTTACATATGCCAAATTTGCTATTACGTGACGTCAATGGATGACGAAGGTATGTGAATGGTGCAAACATGATAATCATGAGATGCGTGCCATGTGAAAACATCACTGCATGCCTCAGTCAAGGCGCCAATACATTTCGACGTGACGCGGTGCGCGTGCTCACTGGCGTTCATTTCGTTGGGTCACCCCGGCGTTGCTACGCCAGGCACCGTCCTGCCATATAATCGCCGGTGCACGCCGCGCTGCGTTGCTTTGACGCATGCGCGTTTCAGCGCGTCCGGCGTCTCTCCATCACGAAAAGAGGGAGACGCAGTGCTGTCTGGTTAACGCATCGGCGGGAAATGCGGCATGGCGCATTTCGCGCCGGTTGCCGTCGGGCCGCGCCGACGGACGCTGGTCGCGCTGGTCGCGCCAGGCATCAGACTATAGAGTGCTCGCGTGTTGCTAACGAACCATCGCTGTGCCCAGCATGCCCGCGCGTCAACGCTACGCCGGAGTATATAGGACCCTTCATGATGCGCTCGCGGCCGTTTTGCTAGCTCGACATACACCGAATTTAGTGTTACGTGACGTTAATGGATGACGAAAGTATATGACTGCTGCAAACATGATAATCTGGACACGCGTGTCTTGTAAGAAGCTGACAAAATACCACGCTCATAGCGTGCTCGCAGTTGTTTCGCTAGCTCCACATATACTATGTTTGGTATCATGTGACGTGAATAGATGATGAAGGTAAACGACACATCCAGAATTGATAATCATGACACGGGAGTCATGTACGGCACCCTTTACTTCCATTTCGCAACAATGTGCTGATTTTATAGTGACACACCAACATTTTTCCTTTGTGCTTCGCATATGAGCGATTCCCGCTGTATGGGGTATCTGCCAATTTTTTCTCTCGCTTTTAATATTTTCTGTTTTCTCGTCTCTTGAATCAATTTTCATTTTTCTGGCAAGGTTTACCTATTTGTATCTTCTCTCTCTTGAGCACATTAAATTAGGTTATAGTGGCATAGTATGATTGGGGTCTTCAGTGCTTTTTGACGCTACAGCGTTCCTAAGTTGGATTCGTTGGTGGGTGGTCGCCCCTGCGGCTTAATATACAAATTTATAAGGAACACCTCCTTTTCCCCACTTACTCGATCGCTACCTTCTAAAGAGGAGACGCACCGATGCTTTCAACCCTTTTCACCAACTCAGGGCAACCTATCGAAAATTTCACGTCATACATAGTGAGAATGCAGCAAAAGAGGCACGAGCGATTTCCCCGTTTTATGAATCAAAGTCTTTGACAGAAGCCTTAGAACCAGGCTATAAACTGACAAAAATCGCAGCGGAGACATTCTGCTTGAGCTGCCCCAGAGCCGACCGTTTGAAGAACTTAGAAGCCTTGTGACATTTGGCAACGTTGAAATAGCTGCCTCTGAACATAGATCAATAAACTATTTATTGCGGAGTTGTGCCGGAAACTGACCTACTGCAACTGTCGGAACATAAGCTATTAGGAAGATGGAAAGAACAGAGAGTGATTCGTGTAAAACTTATTACATTCAGAGGTGAAAACAAGGAAAATTCAACGGAACACCTAGTCCTAACATTTGAGTGAAACGTACTGCCCGAAAACATGTAAACCGGGTACATAACCGTCCGATCTCTCATACATACGAGACCCTAGGGGATGTTTCGAATGCCTGAGATTTGGCTGTAGCTTCCAGAGCGGCCGAAGTGATGAAACCTGTGGGAGACACGGAGACCGAAAACATTCCTCTGTTAATTTCACAAACATGCCTCACTTTGTCAACATTGAAGGTGATCATGCGGCTTGCTCGCGTTCATGTCCAATAGGGGAAAAAGACTTTATAACGCTCAACCTAAACGTAAACATCTCATTTTATGAAAGAGCGCAAAAGGTGCGCACCTTTCTACGCAACACTCTATGCTGATGCGGTGCGCCGGGGGGCTACGTTTCACCGATCCCGCCACTCCTTGTGCCAGCGCAAAGTGAGTCGTCGTCTGCGGCACCTGGCGGTAGCAGCCCAGTCTCTTCAGCCAGCTTGCCAACAGGTACCAGTTACTCCAGGGTCGTCAGTTACGAAAGCCTCGTCTCACTAGGCGAGTTCAGAAGCCCAAACCACCAGCTCGCGTGTGCGGGCCTCCAGTGCTTCCCAGGAGGCAATAGACACCACGGTACCCCTGGTACTGAAATATCGGCGTAGCTACTTGCAGCGCGCCAGGACAAAAAAAAAAAAAAAGCTGATAACAGGGCCCGATGACACCTCTGTTACATGAACTCAGACCTTCAGTCTAAACAAAAAGAACCCTACTGCTTGTACACACAGTGTTCTTTTACTGTCGTAATTGGAGGCTGGATTTATAGGCACAAATAAACTAGTTTTTCGGCGACAAAAATAGGTGGGTAAACCACTGTTTTAGACCCCCAAAATCAGAAATACAGGCGCAGTATACTTTTACGAAATTCCCTTTTTTGAAGAAATGCGTGTAAGTTGTGTCTTCGACAACAAAACAAACAGAATTTTTTTATTTATGATGCTACAAAGGCACCATTGGTTTAGCATAGATATGCAATTTTCTTTTTTCACTGGGTTTGCAGAATACAGTCATCTCATTTTTAGTCAAGCGTGGTCAGTTTAGTGTCCACCGTCGAAAAATCAAGCTCCTAAGTACCTTTCTTTTGGGCCTGGCTGAGAGTAGCAACACAGGAGGAAATAGCCAAAGCGCTCACAGGTCATAAGGGTCTTTTTGCCTCGCATTAACTTGGTATAACCTCGTCTAACTGTGCAGGATCAATTTCTCTTATGTCTGTCAACACTTTGAAGGGCCCTTCATCAGCTTTGATAATTTAGAGTAGGCAAGAGAGATGCAGACATTGGGCACTCGCGAATTCCTCTGCCAAGATTTGCTATGCTATGCGCTCAGAAAGCTTTGAAATGTCAGGCTAAACGCCACTTGACCTTCACCTCGTGGGGTTGCACCTTAACAAGGCGCAGGTGACGTGCAAAACAAAGAATGACGTGTGTAATCTGCGCATTCTGTTACGTTCTGAAA